GTCAAATGCAATGCCCTAAACACGTGGGCAAAACTCAAATGCATAGTTAATAAACCTCAAACTTTGAACCTCCAGTTATACTCATAATCATAAACACAACTGACTAAACAAACTATAACTCCTTGCTTAATTCCGGGGCATCTCGTCAATGCTGGTGCGGCTGCTCGCCTTGCCTTGCTCCTCTCAAGCTCGCTGCTCTCTAACTCCTCTTAGTACTCTTCAAACTGGTGAGTGAGATGGGGTCAGTCTACGCCCTTACGTTTTAAACCTCAAATACTTGAGCACTTTACTTAAGACACGAACTTAAACTTATGAAAGTTGTTTGTACCTTCGCCTTTAAACTTTAACTCTTAAAAAAATGTATTATTTCGTCCATTAGCTTACTTTGGGGCCCCTACCTCGTCTTAGCTGGCGCCACTACTAGCCTTACTTACTTTCTTAAACATGACTACCCTCACAATGGGGTGCCCCTCAAATGGGTTTGAACACCGCGGAACGAATCACCATCCGGTGTCAAACTACGGCGTGACTACCGCGGAACGTATCACCATCCGGTAGCACACCTAAACCTGGGCAATGGGGACCGCGGAACTTATCACCGTCCGGCTCCACGCCTGACCAACTACCGCGGAACGTATCACCATCCGGTAGTGATCAACTACCGCGGAACTTATCACCGTCCGGTAGGGATCCATCTAGCTAGTGGCTAGCTAAGCGAGGTTACCTATCTTTACTCGTGACTTTCTCTTGTTCTTATCGTCATAACTTATTAAGCGGTTAAACGTCGTATGAACGGAAACTTAAATGCTTAAATGTAGATATTGAAACGCTCAAACAATAATTCAAGTCGAGCATGCATAATCAACACAATCACAAATCAAGCAGTGCACATAAACTTCACATAAGACAAATACTTAAAACATGTAAGGCGTAGAATTTACCCCCTTTACACTCACCTCAAATCCGTCGAAAATGAATCTGACTCTGCTCTTAATATTCCATGACTCGCTTCCATTAAATTCTCCTCGTTCCCAAGATTCCATAGGCGTCGACGGTTCCTCGATCGGACGTCAATTGATCGAGTTATGACCAAATAAACATTCTGTAAGTTTAAAAGTACCAGGTACCGAAACTGAAACTTTCCAGTCAACAAAGTTGACCACGCCTATCTGGAAAATTACAGATTTAATCCTCAAAGTTTTTGAATTGACAAGAATAGTACCTGAACTATCCGATTTGCATCCCAAACTTTCGAGGCTCGTATCTCCCTCGTCCAACGTCGAAATTCGATTCCGTCGAAACCAGGGTGTTCCTGAGATCGTCCACTACGCGATGGTACCAAGTTTTTGAAGCTTTGTTGAATTCGACGAGGCCGGTGCCGTCGACGTACTGTCCGGCGAGCGCCCCACACCTTGAGGATTATGATTTCGTCAACCTAGGAACGGAGGATCGATCGCCATCGGGAAAGCTATTGTTCTAATGATGGGGACTGCTACTGCTTCCATTGATCGTCGCTGTTAGCTGCTGCTTGCTTCCGTGAAGCGTCGATGCGGAAGAAAACAAAGGGCTGAAGAAGGAACGACGACGCGCGGCTGCTGCTACTTGCAATAGAGGCGAGAGAAGGAGCCATTTCTTTCTTTCTTTTCTTGTTCTTCTTCCCTCCTGTTTACTTCTCTTTTGGTTAAATAAAAAAAAGTAACGGCGGGATTGCAGGGGTAGGGATATAGTGAGGAGAATTTGATCGGGTGGTGTAACTGTTTGGGTTTTTTTTTTAATTTTTAATTTTTTTTTTGTTTCCTTTCTCTCATGGCTTAAAGGAGATGAAACGTGTGGGATGGGATGATGATTATCATAATAATAATAATGATAACAATAATTGTTGTTAACAAAATTATTATTATTACTGTTTCTAATTTACGGTCGAAATTTAGTACGCAATCGTCGATCCAATCGTTTCGTCGAACCCAGACTCAAATATCGGGGTGTTACATACAGTATGTTTCATGTTTTGTTGAAAGATGGTGTTTGGTAGGGAAGTTAAAGTGCATTTGCAAGACTTGTTATTGTGGGTTTGATTACTTTGTTGATGTTGTGGAAAATACTATATGCAGCAGCCAAACAATATGCAAATGTCATTGTGGAATCCAGAATTTTCCTTCTTCAAATTGTGTATATGATTCCTGTGTACATAATTGTTATTGGTTATGTTGTCTTGTTTCTGGAGACAGGTATGGTTCTGCTAAGAATAAAGCAACAAGAAGCTTAACATACAGAAACCATCTAACTTGCATCATAGACTCTTAACACACAGAAGCTTGACATACAACAAGAAACAAGAAGCAATCGAGTCCTTCTTGTCGATTTCGACCCCTCCATGCTGGGTCTATGTTGGGTCTATTCTGCGAGCCAGGAGTGCAGAGTTTAGGCAACTTTTCAGCCTTGGCAACTTATTGAGGAACCAGAACAATGATGATTAGAAGCTGTAAGCAGATGTTGCATCACTCCTCCTGCTTTTCCTCTCGACGGACTATGACGATTACGACAAGCTTTTCTACAGAGGCAAAACTCAGTAACTCCTGAAGAATGTGGTCCTGTGATCAGAATAGTACTTTCTCCCTTACTTCTTCTTATTGCCCTGTTTTAGGATGGAACTAGACAAATTGTTCCCTTATGACAAAACCCACGACTCAATTTGGGGAGGTCTTCAACAGCCAAGAACAGAGAGGAGGGAACAGAGAGGCTCTCAGCAGCTACACCCCCCTTCTCCCCCCATGATCTTCGCCGGGATCCTCCTTTCCGCCGCCTCCGAGATTCGAGAAACCCGCTGCTTCTACGCAACCCAATAATCATCCACTCTGGTCACACTCGGAGCCTGCTCCAAATCTTCCCGGGCGTCGTTGGCCCCGGTGATGGCGATGGCGAACGGGACCGTGAGTCTGATCCCCGGCGGGACCGTCTCCGGCGACATCCTCTGCCCCCGCAACGTATGGAGACCCCGTCAGTTTGGCTGGGAATCGTCGAATTCATCATCATTGCTTACTGCCTGGTGAAGAACATAAAAGGGGCAATGATTTACGGAATCGTCTTCGTCACATCCGTCTCCTGGTTCCGCCACACAAAAGTCACCGAATTTCCGAACGATTCCGCCGGAGACGCTGTGTTCGAGTACATCCATTCCCTGGTCGCATCCATCGCTGAAGAGAGGGATTAAAAGTGTCTGCAAAGAAGAAAGTGAACAGGGCAAAATAGTAATTTTAGGTTTGTCATTAAAATCGAAATTGCTCATTAAACAATTCTGGATCCTTCATCAAACAAGTGATTTGATTCAATTTTCTTATTTAAATTTCCTGGATTTTTAAGTGCAGAATTTGGATACAAATTCCTTATAAGTCCCTCAAATCAAAATGCTTAATCCAAACGACCCCTATGGGTTCTCTTCAATCGGTATTTGAGGAAGATTTCCAATCTCACCTCTTATGCTATCATTGTACAGTGAATAGCACAATGGTAGTATTTGTATTATGCATCTTTAAGTATTCTCATTAAGAAGTATTAATATATGGCTTAATGGGTACTGCTAAACTATTTAAATGTATGTTTGTGTTGTTTAATATAACTGATCAGTTGAGGCGGATTAGTTTAGAAACCACGTAGGAACTCTCTGTTCTTTTCTCTTTGGCAGCTCTTTTACACCAAGATTGTTTAACATTCTAGAGACTTTGGGAGATACAAAGAACTATAATAAGATGATTTGGTTTTAAAATGTCATTATTTTATATTTTATTATTCATTGTCAATGTTGGAGTTGAATGCATCTGGAACTTGCTATTGCTATTGACACTCCGAACAATAATGCTAACTTACTAACACAATCGATACAACAATGTCACAAAAGCATGGCACTTTGTTTATTCAAGATTTCAGTTGATACTTTCACACAATTTTACTTCTTCCGTAAAACAAACTCTATTATGAATTGTATTTCCTTGGTACTTTTATGTTGATAAACATTATTGATATTGTTAGTGTGTTGCTTCACATAAGATAGTACTCTATATATTATCTGACATGGAAAGTGAAGTCAGTTATGGGCAACAAAGACACAAATAAAAAAATTCAAAACGAAACTCAGCGTATCCTATAAAAAAAAATTATTAATATTATAAACATTGATATCAATTCCGGCCAAGGGCTGCAAATGAGCCGAGCTGCTCACGAGCGGCTCGATGTTCAACTCGAGAAAAGTTCGTTCGAAATTCGGCTCGTTAATAAACGAACCGAACACGAGCTAACCTTTGTTCAGCTCGTGAAGCTCGCGCGCTAGCTCGACTCGGTGGCTTGTTGAGCTAAACTCGTGAGCTGGCTCGTTTAGAGCTCATGATATGTCTTAACATGTGGCTAGAGAGCCAACTCGATTACCAACTTATGGACGAATCAATCTATATCTTATGATTTTAACTCATATGGTTGTTAAATTATACATCTCACCATATATAAAGTTTAACACGTTGATCAAATATATCTTATTTTCTACTTTAAAAAGTTTTTATGCATCATAGATTGCTTCAATACTATGAAACAACATGATTTGAAGTAGTTAAGATTTATTAACTAAATGATATATGATACCAACAAAGTATAATATGAGATTAGCTAACAAAATAAATCATAGGTATCATGATATACAAAATGAAGTAATAAATAAAAGTCAAGATTTTAATAAACAAGCTAGTTCGAGCTCGACTCGACTCGGCTCGTTAATAAACGAGCTGAGCTCGAACTCGACTCATTTATTAACGAGCCGAGCTCAAACTGGAGTAAAACTCGACTCGACTCGACTCATTTGCAGCCCTGGCCCAAAGCTAGTGATAATAATGCTAATGTGTAACTGGAAGCCCTGCCTTGTGTTTTCGCAGATAGCCACTGCTCTATTGGCTTCGTGAGACAATCCTGAGGCTATTAACTCGGCACAACCAGTTTTAACAGCAGCGTGGCAATGAGGTCAACACTCAACAGTTGGCCAAAATCACCGAGGAAGCAGTTTAGATCTTAAACATGGCGGATTGCCGGGGAATTGCTATGTATATACACATATATTATAAGGGTGATCTTGTTAGAAGAATCACTGAATACAAGTTTTAATGCACACTAATAACCCAGTCTTGGATTTGGAAACCAACAATGCTAAAGGCAGTAAGCTTGTTATTCATCATCTTTTCCTTTAGTCCTTTCTTCTCCTTGGCAAACTGAAACACAGGTAATTCGAAGCAGGCTATCACTGCAGAAAATTTGACTACTGATGTACTAAACTGGAGTGTCAACCCTCCACAGAATTCAAAAAGAGCAAAATAACAAGACTTCCTCAGCGTCCAAAAGATCACTAACACAACAACCCAAATGAATATAGACCAAATGGAATTAAGGCAGAATCCTCATTTTATGAACGCGCGTCGCCGTATCTCCCTAGTAAGAGTAGGTGAAACTTCTAAAACAAATCAGAGACCCTCCTTCACTTCTTCACCTCCTCATATTCTGCCTCGGGGGCCTGGTCGCCGCCGCCTTGAGCACCACCGGAAGAACCGTCGCTGCCTCCGCCTGAAGAGCCTTTGGACATGTGCTCCCCAATCTTAGACAAAGCCTTGTTTGCAAGGTCAATTTTGGATTTGATCTCGTCCACGTTGTCTCCCGACAATGACGCCCTCAAATCTGCAACAGCATCTTCAATCTCCTTCACCACTTCCGAGGGAACCTTGTCCTTGTACTCATTCAGGCTCTTCTCGATGCTGTAGGCGGTGGTATCGGCAGAGTTTCTCACATCAATCAAGGCCTTCCTCTCTTGGTCCTTCTGAGCAAACTGCTCAGCCTCCCTCACCATCTTCTCAATCTCATCCTCTGATAACCCTCCTGATGACCTGATTGTGATCTGCTGCTCCTTCCCGGACGCCTTGTCCTTTGCAGATACAGTGACGATACCATTGGCATCTATATCAAAAGCCACTTCGATTTGAGGCAATCCCCTAGGTGCTGGTGGGATACCCGTCAACTCAAACTCTCCTAGCATCTTGTTATCGGATGCCATCTCACGCTCTCCCTGGAGAACCTTGATCCCGACTTGAGTCTGATTGTCAGCAGCAGTTGAGAACACCTGAAGAAAATGCAAACCACAGCAAAAATATAAGCCGAGGAGCCACGTTGCTGGCTGAAACTTTAATAATAACTACTTTAAGTGATAATCCGACCTGGCTCTTCTTGGTAGGAATGGTGGTGTTCCTGCTAATCAAACGAGTAAAAATGCCACCCAATGTCTCAATACCAAGAGACAGTGGTGTGACATCCAAGAGAAGCAACTCCTTAACATCTCCCCTGAGAATGCCACCCTGAATAGCAGCTCCCATGGCAACTGCTTCATCTGGGTTCACTCCCTTACTAGGACTCTTCCCAAAGATGTTCGAAACTATTTCCTGAACCTTAGGCACGCGAGTCATGCCTCCTACAAGCAGCACCTCATCCACATCCTTAGTTGCAATGCCAGCATCCTTCAAGCAGTTCTTGCATGGCTCCTTGGTCCTTTCAATCAAGTGATTCACTAGGCTCTCGAACTTTGAACGGGTCAATGTAATATTCAGATGTTTTGCACCTGAAGCGTCTGCTGTGATAAAAGGCAAGTTGATATCAGTTTGGCTTGTTGATGACAGTTCAATCTTGGCCTTCTCCGCCGCCTCCCGGAGCCTCTGCAGCGCAAGTCTGTCCTTGGTAAGGTCAATGTTCTCTGTCTTCTTGAATTCATTCACCAAGTAGTCCAACAGAGCATTATCAAAGTCCTCGCCTCCCAAGAAAGTGTCACCATTGGTAGCTTTAACCTGCACAGAACAGAGTATCTCAGTATAAGAACTTCGACTGACTTGGTGGTGGTGCTAAATCATGATGGATCATGCACAATTGCTTACCTCAAAAACACCGCTGGAGATCTCCAAGATGGAGACATCAAAGGTTCCGCCTCCAAGGTCAAACACAGCAATAAGCCCCTCCTTGTTGTTCATTCCATAGGAAAGTGCAGCTGCAGTAGGCTCGTTGATAATCCTCTGTACATCCAGGCCAGCGATTCTTCCAGCATCCTTCGTTGCCTGCCTCTGAGCATCATTGAAATACGCTGGGACTGTCACCACGGCCTTCGAAACTCCCTTTTGGAGGTATGCTTCCGCAGTCTCCTTCATTTTCGTGAGAACGAATGCCCCAATTTGGCTAGGGGAGTACTGCTGCCCATTAGCCTCAACCCAAGCATCACCGTTTGGAGCCTTCACTATCTTGTATGGGACCATCTTCATTTCCTTTTGAGTCTGGGCATCCCCAAATCTCCTCCCGATCAAACGTTTGGTGCCAAAGACAGTGTTCGTAGGGTTTGTCACAGCCTGTCGCTTCGCTGGGGTGCCGACAAGCAACTCGCCCTTCTGATTGAAGGCGACAACCGAAGGGGTGGTCCTCGCTCCTTCAGCATTCTCAATGACTTTGGGTGTCTGTATTCAGAAGCACACACCAGATCAAAATAACACAAAGATCAGAATCATACGAAAACAGAAGGGACCAGAGTCATGTGGGAATGAACAGTGCAAATCATGTTTTACCTTCCCTTCCATGACCGCCACACAAGAGTTTGTCGTCCCCAAATCAATCCCGATAACATCATTTCCAGCGGGATTTGAACTGTACGCCAATCGGAATATCGTTCAGCAACAAAGCATACACAACCAAATCGCATAAAGCTAAATAGCATGACGAATCGACAAAGATGCAATACCTGAAACCTCTGGACAAAGACCACGACGGCCTCGAGCTACCAGCAGCAGCCTGCTCATGAAGAAAGGCGAGGAAAACTAATGAAAACCAACGAAAACAAAGCCTAAACCCTAGTGAATCCATTTTTTTTAATATAATAATTCATCGTCGATCTAGAAGGAAACACATCCAAAACTTCTAATCCAAATCCAAGCATATCACCGGCTACCGAAATCGTTCCCATCATATATGGACGAAAGCTGTTGGGTTACAAAGAGGACATACCGATCTGTAACCAGAGAGCTGAGCAGCGGTGGTGGCCCCTCGGAGAGAGCGACGAAGAAGAGCGGCTACGGCCATGGAGGCGACGGAGGTAGAACGGCTGCGGCGGAGGGTTTAGGGTTTAAGATGGGAGATGAAATGTGTAGTTTAGAAGGTGGAGGCTGGGTGTTTCGTTTCAAGCTCGGCCGCAAATTAAATCGGACTGGCAGGGTTTTAGGCAAAGCTCAAATGCCTGCAGAGAAGGGTTTTTAAGTCTAATTTTGTGAGCCACGGGATTCGATTGGACACTTTCCGTAGAGCCTTCCAGAAGCTCGTCTATCTTGTTCTCAAAGAAATGGCTAAATTGCAAGTTTGGTCACTCGAATTGCTATAAAATTTCACGTTTGCCACTCAAATTAATTTATTCCATTTATAGTCACTCGAATTAGTTGAACAGTTCAAGTTCGGTCACTCTCCGTTAACCTCCGTTAACTTTGACTGACGTGGCGGTCAACTCTGACAGTTGACCGTTAAATGTGTGACGTGGCAAATAAAAAATAATATAATAATAAATTTTAATTATTTAAAATTTACACCTCATTTTTACATACATGAAAAATAAAATAAAATTTTCCGAGGAACTTCCGTCGACGGTGCGGTGGAGCTCGGAGAATGGGACCTTGTCGTTGAGCCCGTAGACGGAGCTCGACGACGCCCAGACGATTGCGGGTTGGGGGTTGGCCGATTTCGCAATTTCCAGGAGATTGATGAACCCAGCGATGTTGGAGCTGACGTAGGATTGGGGGTTCTGCATCGCGTAACGGACGTCGGCTTGTGGCGGCGAGGTGGAGGATGTGGGAGAAGGGAACGACGTCGAATAGCTTGGCGAGGAGAACGACGTCGTTCAGATCTCCGTCTACGATGAAGACCTGGTTCTTCAAAAGCATCTTCTGGCGAGATCTCTTGAGGGATGGGTCGTAGTAGGAATTGAAATTGTCGAGTCCCAGGACGCCGTCACCGCGCTTTTTGAGGGTGATTGAGCAGTGGGAGCCGATGAATCCGGCGGCGCCGGTGACAAGGATGGAGAATCCGTTGGGGCGGCCAGGGGTGGAGAAGTGGCGGACTTGTTTTTCATGTATGTAAAAATGAGGTGTAAATTTTAAATAATTAAAATTTATTATTATATTATTTTTTATTTGCCACGTCACACATTTAACGGTCAACTGTCAGAGTTGACCGCCACGTCAGTCAAAGTTAACGGAGGTTAACGGAGAGTGACCGAACTTGAACTGTTCAACTAATTCGGGTGACTATAAATGGAATAAATTAATTTGGGTGGCAAATGTGAAATTTTATAGCAATCCGAGTGACCAAACTTGCAATTAAGCCCAAAGAAGTATTTCGGGTGCATGGTTGATTTGGTCCTTCAACTTTTGTAATTTGATTATTTCGAGTATATAAAATTTAGGACTAAAATAATTTAGGGTGTGCCTACGGTGACATGCATGTCACGGTGACTTGCATTTTCCGGTCGACCTTAGTTATGATTAGGTCGACCTCATTTAGAATTCGGTCGACCTCATATAGGATCTGGTCGACCTCATATAGGATCAGGTCGACCTAATCTGTTGTTTCAGTGTAAAAACAGTTCATGGTGCCTACTTTGGATATTCATATCATACAATTGGCTAGATGGAAATTGAAGACTAATGACTTGTTTTGAAGCTGGAGTGTCCCTTTACATATTGAAGTGGAAGAGAGCTCGATAGGAAGTTCAGAAGACCATTTTTGAACCTCATCAAAAGACTATGCCAAAACTGGGAAACTGCCAGGAAATGGCTAAGTCTGAAAATGTGTTTGTGAAGCCTATTTTGGAGATCAATTCGAGAAGCATGAATGCGAGTCGAGTCCAGGAGCCTCTACCACGTTAAATTAGGTATGTTTTTATAAAAATTCAAGGCACTATAAGGCTTCAAACAAAAGGGTCGAAGTTGCTACGAAGGCTGTTTTTCTGGCAGACTTCGAGCACAAGCAAGCTGCAAGAAAAACAGCCTTCGTAGCAACTTCGAGCCTTTTGTTTGAAGCCTTAAAGATATTCAATCTTTCATTCAATGTCTTTCCTTTGTATAATAAAATACGTAATTTAACGTGGTAGAGACCCCTGGACTAGACTCGCATCCATGCTTCTCAAATTGAGCTCCAAAGTAGGCTTGACAAACACGTTGCCAGACTTAGCCATTTTCAGGCAGTTTCCCAGTTTTGGCATAGCCTTTTGGTCAGGTTCAAAAATGGTCTTCTGGACTTTCTATTGAGCTCCCAAGTACTTTAATGTGTAGAGGGACACTTCAGCTTCAAAACAAGCCTTTAATCTCTAATTTCCATCTAGCCAATTGTAAGATATGAATCTCCAAAATAGGCACCATGAAACTGTTTTTACACTGAAACAACAGATTAGGTCGACCTAATCCTATATGAGGTCCACCGAAAAGTGCATGTCACCGTGACATGCATGTCACCGTAGCAAAGTCCAATAATTTAATAGTTCAATCTTTCAATGTTTTTTAACAAACACAGTTTCATTAACCGGCAAGCAGTTCGAACTTCGAACTTATGAACAAAGGTCCAAGGAAGGCAAACAAATTAAATAAAGAAAATGAGCAAGTCCACCCAGAAAAGATAAGGTCCTCCCACCCAATGCAATGTAGTCAAAATCGAGATTTTGATCGTAAAATCGTAGGATTTTAGAATTTTACTTAGAGATTCCGATCCTGATTTTACTATAAAATTGATGGACCTTAAAATCGTTCAAAATCGGGATTAAAATCGTTCAAATCATAAAATCGTACCAAAATCGGGATTTTGATCCTATGTGAACAAAATAGGGAGCCTGAGCTAATTCAAAAGAAGCAGAATTGTTTCAGTGGAAAGGGCAATGACGGGGATCTTCTCATATATTTTTCCTATTAAAAGAACATTTGAAAAGAAGAAAAAAAAACTAATTAGGGTTCGGTCAACCCCCTTCCCTTCTCCTTGTTTAACTCATCGGTAAAACAATTATCAGAATATTGTTAGTGCGTAAGAATTAACATCATTATTAATAAATTATTATTAATGAATATATTTGTACCAAACCAATGACATTAATTATTTTATTGGATTTCAGTTATTCTTAGTTTTAAATCATGCTTAGTAGACGATGTCGGAATACTACTTTGCGTTAAACTACCTAGACACAACATGAGAAAGAAGAGCCAAACCCCATGAGCTCTATCCCTTTCTCGTAAATTATTTTTAGTTACGCATTAAATAACAATTAAAATGATAATTTTGGAACATTAATCTTGAAAATTATCACTTTAAATGTTATAAGTCTTTGTGTTATTAATTATTTACCTTATTAATATTATTATATGTTAATTTCTATATGGTACTTAAAATCCTACGATTCTACGATTCGATTTTACCCCAGTTTTCGATTTTAGGTAAAATCTCGATTTTAACTGCTTTGCTCCCACCTACTATTGGGAGGACCTCCTCCCAAGTCCCAAATGGCCAGGATGAAGGCCACGCTCCAGCAACGGGTGAGATGGATTTTTGGGTTTGCTAGAGGAATGTGGGGGCCAGTCGTCGTCAGCCCTGTCTGCTTTCGTAAAACACGACCCTCTCTCATGCCCGAATGCTTGCCTGGCCATTGCCTTGCTTCATTTTCATCTCCGAGGCGAGTTGATAGAACACGACCCTCTGCTTCGTTTTCTTAAAACACGAGCCTCTCTTTCGTTTCCAAAATCGAGTCGCCCACCAAATCATTTAGCTCCCGCTTCCTCCTTTTAAAATCCCACTACCCCATTCGAATTTTAATTTTTGAATCCGTAGCCCAATCCTTTTGCCCCACCAGAATCCCACGCCCCATTCGAGTTGTAATGTCTAATGAACCCTAATTTGGGGTTTTCTTCGAGCAGGGAGTTTAGAGTTTTCTTCAATCATAGAGTAGCGGAGAAATAAGGGTGGAGATAAGGAGAGGCGTCGAAGGAGAAGAAGGAAGGAGAAGAAGGGGAAAATGAGGAGAGATAAGGAGAGGTTATATCGTTTCAGCGGAAAGCGCCATCGTCTTCTACCTGTGGGGTAAGATAATGAGTTTCACCAGAGTGGATCTTAATGAGCTGCCTCCACTTGCCGAGGAGCCTTGTTTGGACGATCTGGTGAGCAAGATGATGCATGTGTGTTTCTATTTTGTCATTGATAATGAATTCACTTGCGTCGTTTGGATCACAGAATGCCGACAATGGGGACTTGGATAAAGATATGGATGAACAGAAGGAGCTGGGTATGTTTTCTCAACCTAGGCAGCTGCTAGGTTTTATATGATTGCGAATTTATTGAAGCATTTATAAGGAAAGAAGATTCCTCTACATTTATTGAGTACAACAGGTGGGAATGTTCTGTTGGATTTGTGTTGTATTAATGAATGTTGTTTGCTTTTTATTGAAACCGTTTCCAGCCTTAGTGAATATTATTTACGCTGAAGGGGAATGTATTTACCTTGTTGATGAGACAATTATTTCGTTGCAGATACTTGGATACCATTGGTAGATATTGATGATCAACGCCAGTGTATCTTCCTCGTACTCCTGAGCAGTGTCATTGGTAGTACAAGAGTTATGCTCACTTCAAGGGATTTTCTGCCCGAATTGAAAAACGGAAGTGGAAGCGCTTGAGTAACGCGAATGGTGAATCCCACAAGTTCTACCACCATCTTCACTTCTGCTACAGCAAGCAAGGCTTTAGCAGACGTAGCCCAAACAATCCCAAGAGGTCTGATAGACTCCCCGAGTCCCAAATGGAGGCAATTCCCATTCCGGAGAGGCGGCACAATGAACTAAGATTGGGCTCTGAAGCACATGTGAAATTCGGTTGGGATTATGACCTCAATATATTCTATATTTTTGAATTTGATGGCCACCACAACCATGATCTCCACGCCAAGGATCACAGGCACCTGTTGATCACCAACCGAAAGATTTCTGCTGCTCAAGCAAAAGTGATCGAAGACAATGCATATGCTGGAGTGAAGCTCAAATCCTCATACGAGGTTATGGTACAAATTGGTGGAGGGCCCACAAAAGTTGGTTTCACAAGAGATGATCAGAAGAACCACCTTTGTAGGAGAAGGCAGAGGGATATGGGGCACGGTGAAGGGACCTTTCTTGACGAATACTTCCAGAAAGAACAAAAGAAGGACCCATCGTTCTTCTACAATGTGGAGGTTGATTCATGCGAGCAGATTGCGAACATATTCTGGGCAGACCGAATGATGCAGTTGGATTACGAACTATTTGGTGATTTTGTCTCATTTGATACGACCTTCAGAACAAACAGCGAATTCCGTCCCTTAGGTATGCAATTTAACGTATTTATTTTTAATGTGATGGCGCCTGTTGGAAATGCATTTGGTTATGCCTTTTTATCTTAATCTAAAAGAAGCAAGCTACCTTGCTTTGTTATCTTTCACTTATTATGTCAGCTTTTTTTGTCGGGTTCAATCACCATCGACAAGTGACGATTTTCGGAGCATGTCTGATGTACGATGAGACGATTCCCTCCTTTGAGTGGTTGTTTTCGAATTTCTTGGATTGCATGAAGGGCAAGGATCCAACAACCTTGTTCACTAATCAAGATGCTGACATCGTTGTTGCCATAAAGTCCAAGTTCTCTTCTACATATCATGCGTTGTGCACCTGGTACTTGAGATTAAATGCTGAAGAACATCTTGGCTCAATTTCTCGCACCGAGTAATTTAAGGATCACATGATGTACATGTTCTATCATGTCGATACATCAGAAGAGTTTGACATAGCATGGGCTGCGATGATCGAGGAATGCTTCCCCGGTGTGGACATTGAAAGTGGGACCCATTGGTTGAGTCAATTTTTAAAATTTCGCGAGAAGT